AGCAGAGTCCATGATTGAGTTCCCGCACCACAGCATACTCCTCAGCTGTGGATCTTAGAGGTCTGCTTGGTCACAAGCTGTTCCTTGGTCCCTCCCTTGGCTTGTCTATAGTTTGAATCACCTGCATCAATGCCAAGAAAGTTACTTTGGTTTGTTGGAATTGCCATGCCCAGCTGCTCTGAACCTTATCCCCACTTTCAGTGACTGTTGCACTGCCAAGGAAGCCATGTGAACCTGTAATGGAGCCAGACAGCTTGCTGAAATCTCTTCTACCACAAATCATGTGTGGTAATGAGAGTTATTTGTGCACCTTCATGTGTGAAAAGTAATGCCTTCGCATCAAGAGTATACACCCTTCTAGAAATGTAGACAGCATTCATCCCTGTAGCGTCCAAGCAGGCAGTCGGCATCACCTAGAAATTCCTGCGGATGGGACCAGTGTGTTTTGTGCTAGAAATGTCTCTGCTGTGCAGTGTAGTGCAGTACAAAGATCCTTGAGCTATCCTGAAAACTGGAAACAGCATAACTTCCAGCTGTGCTTTACTGGGAGTATAACTTTACAATGTATAATTGTGCCTGAGCCAGCTGGCGCTGCTCAGAGTCAAGGTTCTGTACAGGATCAGAGCTTCTTGCTAATGCAGCCTTGCTGCTTTGACGCCTGGCACCACTGATTCCAGTCGTCTTGACGGGGCAGTCGCAGCTTGTCTGCGTGTTCTGTCTGTTTGTTGTCAGTGTTCTGGCTGAAAATCCAGCCAGTGTGCTGGTCAGTAAAAGTCATGAGAGGATGCCTTGCAAGTGATCAGAAAGCTGACAGAGGAGTAAGATTTTCAGTACAAGCGATATGATTTAGGAGTGCAAACCAATGGCCTTTTCACTTGAGCTTTAGGGAAGCTCATCTTTGTGGAAAAACAACAACATCTGAATGGACAGAACTAGGAAAGTACACCTGACTGATTAGAAGGGACTACGTAAAATTTTTGTATGATTTTTGTGTTTAGGGAACAGGTGCTTTGATTATACTCTTTAAGTAAATGTGTATGTTAATGTTGCAGGAATACTCCAATGAGAGACTGAAGAAGACAAATGAGATGCTTCGAGGTATTAAGCTCCTTAAACTCTATGCTTGGGAACACATCTTTCACAGCAGTGTAGAGGAAACCAGACAAAAAGAAATGACTAGCCTCAAGTCTTTTGCCCTTTATACCTCCATATCCAGTAAGTCTCATCCTTCATTCTAATCCACTGTTCAGCTGAAGTGCTACTGCATTATTAGCTACTAATGAGTTTACCATTTCTCTATTGAGATTGTTTGTTTCAGTTGCTTTAGGCTCTGGTCCACGCTCCTTGTTTTCCATTTAGTCAGGCTTTCTGTTTAATTCAATAGAATTTTGCATTTATGGGAAATATGCTTAAAAGAGAAAGTCAAGATTAATGCTTCATAGCATTAACTTTTCTGGAGTTTTCTTGCTTTTAAGGGGCAAGTGTTTCAGAGGCTACCTTCAGCCAGCAGTATTCTCCTCTGTAACATAGCATTCAGGAAGAAGGCTTTGTTAATGCATGTTTTTGGGGTTGTTTTTTTTTTTCCTCCTGCATTTTGCACAATACAGTATATCATAATATATGACAGGAATTATCTTTGCATTGAAGCGCCAACAGATGGTACCTTCACTTTCTTACTCGAAATTTGAGTTTCTTTTAAAAATAAGTTATTCTTAAGACCATTTCTATATCCTGGAAAGGAAAAATATGCGAATCCCAGCAATTTCATCATTCCATATCCAGATTCTTTTGTCTCATGTTATCTTTCAAGCTGCTTTAGGGCACTTACCATCCCTTTAAAAAGATGTAGGGCCAATTGAACTCTTTATTTGCGGAGATTATATGCAACACCTATATAATTGCTACTGTAATACTTTAGAAATAGTAGAGTTATACTGAAGAACCTTGTTCATGTAATCTGTAAGATATTAATGAAATGGAAACTTTTAGTGAGAAGTATTCAAATGCCACAAGCGACCTGTACAAATACTATCTAGACTAACATGGAAGACTACTCCTTAGGAAAACAACTTCCAGTCTGGTTAGTATTATGTGATTACATTTGCCCAGGAGACATGCAGCTCACTTTCTTCGCTGCCAAATGATCACATAGGTAATGCATTCTGAGGGAAAGATCCTGATCCCACTGAATTTAAGTGACATTAAGTTGAGGTTTTCCTTGGCTTCTAAGACCACAATTTCTTTCTGGGGATCCTGAGCTCTCTGTGCTTTCAGAGTAAGTTTCCATTTTGACACAAAACAGAATTTAGCTGGAGTAGATTATGTGACCGGAAACTCCATCCTACACCCAGATCAACACAGATGGGCTCCCTGTGTTTGCACTGCTTCATGTGGCATTAAAATCTATTTATAGTCAGAGCCACAGGTTCAGCTGTAGGACTGGAGGAGCTGTGGAGGCTTATTTGATTTTAAATCCTCATAGTATCATTTGTAACTGCTAGGGAACGATGTATTCATCCCAAGAGTACTGACTATTCTGTAAAGAAATATTGACATAAATAAAACCAGTATTATTAAAACCAATTCTAAATATTTACTGATGCTTCTTGAAACATTCAATGTTTGCATTTGCATTCTTGTTTTGTATTATGTGTGATATGTGTACGTAAGACACAGTTGATCAATTTCTCAGCTGGGGTAAACCACTGTAGCTTTTTTATGTTGATGTTGCATATAATTTTGGCTTATAAAGGGCTCCTATAGTTTCATCCTAGGAGTTCCTTACACCCTCTGTCTTCAGCAGAAATTACACTGATCTATACAAACTTGCACTTTAGCAGACTAAAAAGGGAACATAAATGTAGGAGAACTTGCCTTTTTTCTTACCATAAATGTAATTAGAATGACAGGTATAATTGGCACAAAGTGTGCTTGCTAATATTACAGTGAACATATGATTTCATTTTTTTAAGAAAGAAAAAAAAAAAGTCAGGAGATAACCAAAACTTTTTTGCATTATTGACCAAAAGGAAGGCAGACACTTCCTAGAACAATAACAAAGCAGAAGTGATATTTTTTTAATGTAGTTTTGAATAGACTCTAGAATTCTTTACTAAATGCACTTAGCTATTAAAATGAATGAAAGAATGTGGCTGGAGCTACTTCTATTAATGAGGAATAGATTTACATTGAATTAAAGAAAATATACCTACAAGTTTCAGGGCAGTGTTGGCTAGACCACAAGAAAATTCCATTTCAAGACTGCATGTCATGATCTGCCTTGCCCCTGTGCCTGCATCCAGTTTGTATGTATATGGATTGTTCATGTGAACTTCTAGGCTTTAATATGTATTACTCTTTCAAAGGCTAAGCTTTTATTTTGGAATTATAGACAGAAACATACTTATATTTTCAAATATTCCCCTCTTTCAAGGAATTAGAGCTACATGAAATAACACAGCTGTTTTATTTAAGACTGAGTACAGAGTTTAGAAGTATGTTACAGGATTCATTAAAGATCATCTGAATGTTGGACAAAGGAATATCTGACAGTATGTTAAGTTCTTCAGGGGGTTTATGCCCGGAAAAATATGGCCAAACAGTACACCAGAAGTATTTGTGGGTCAAATTACGACATTCCAGTTCAGATAAAGTAACTGGAGAGTGCTTTTACTGTCTGAACATGGGCTATACCGGTAAGAAAAAAGGGCAAGCATAGTTTAAACAAAAAAGAAGTGGCTAGCCTCTTTCTCTTCTGTCAGACATGTACTAATATTTTAATTCTGTTTTAGCTATAAGATTCCATGTTCTTTCTCTGTATTGTTTACTTCATGAAATAAAGTTGAATGAAGATCAAAATGAAAAGGTGATGATTAAATAATATCCTCAGGTTGCGATAAAGGGGACAGACGTGTGGGGTAAGATCATAGCCCTGGTTCTGACTCAAGCTCCCAGCTGGGTAACTGGTTATTATTGCATTCCTAACCCATATTCCTGCCTGATCTAAGAGAGATCCCTATAGAGAAATGGTATTTGCTTGCTTCTCCCCATCCATCTGTTCAATAACCTCTGAATGCTATAGTGTCTGAGTTGCTATAGTGAGAGAATCCAGGACACCAAGACAGACACTGTTTGAGGTCAGGGAGTAAACTGATTCATTGTCTGCATTTTAATAACTCAAGGCCTACCTGAAATCAAAGCTCTGCCAGATTTATGTACTGTTAGAGCCTGTGTTGAGCTCCCAAGGATATTCACAAAGGAGCCAAGCCCAACAAAGCAGGAGTAATTATAAGTAAGTCCTCTAGAAGAATAAAGTCAAAAATACAATGCAGGGTTGCTAGGCTTTCCTTACCCTTTGAACCACATTTCAAAACCCAAGAGGGCCACAAGCCCTGTACCTCAGAAGTACCCTGCAAGTAGGTCACAACTTGACGTACGTGGCAGTGGCTCTCCCGGGAGGTCCTGCGCTGGGCTGCGGGATGGGGCAGAGCCAGGTGTGCAGCCAGCCTGTGGGGCAGCCCCAGCGCTATGACCTGAGCAGCCTCTGCTGTGTCTCCCTTCCTCTCACTGCCAGGTAGTCAAGTCGCCTCTCAGACCTTGTACCAGCTCAGCCTTTCTGCCTGGCATGAGACAGAGACCTGCAGCATCCCTGGCCTGAATTGCGTGTCGCAGCTCAAAAGTAGATTAGTCATCTTTTCCTAGGGTGCACTGCTGGGCTCTGTCTGTTCTGGTGACATGAAGAGAAGTAAACCGTAGGCATTTTAAAACAATGTACTGCTGTGTGTATATAGTTGCACATCTTTCCTATCTTAAGCATAGAAAATGCCATTGTAAACCAGTGCTAGTAGTATTTTAACATTTAGCATGTCTGAGTGGAAATTGTTTCTAAATGTTCCTACGTGTTTTCCTTCACAGTCTTTATGAATGCAGCAATACCAATTGCAGCTGTACTTATAGTAAGTATGGACTTTTCTAAGTAGTGTTAATTACAACTGCATTTTCAAGTATAAGTGACATGGAAATGAGGAAGAACAGGATGCAAACCTGCTACACATTCGCAGTTCTTCTGGGAGAGAATGGAAAATGCCAACTTGTCTATGTTTAGAAGCAGCCCGCAGTATGCAGCACTCCCTGAAACTGTTAAGCGATTATAAATTAAGACTCTGTAAATTAAATGCTTATGAAATACAAAGTCTTTGTGCATTTCCCTCTTTATGACAAAACGCTGACAATGATGCCCGTCTCTTTGTAGACATTTGTGGTCCATGCTCATCTGACAAGAAAGGCTGACTTCTCCCCATCCGTGGCATTTGCCTCCATCTCCCTGTTTCATATTCTTGTGTCTCCGTTGTTCCTGCTCTCCAGTGTGATTAGATCCACAGTCAAAGCATTAGTAAGGTGAGAACTGTAAAATATCTTTGCTACCACCTCTCCGACTTTTGAGAGTGTCTATTGCTCATTTTCCAATAGTAAGTTTAGAAATAGCGTGGTGATTATTTATACGTTGTTGTTATAAATTGCTTCCCAGATTTATACCTTGCATGGTTCCCTTGGTTGTGGGCCAAGTTCTTTGCTGATACAATCGTCACAACCAATATTTTGTGGTCCACAGCTGGTACTTCATTATGTACAATGGGTTGAGATGTATTGGTACTGCATGCAACATATATGTGGTAACAAGGAAGTGAAAACTTACTGAAGATTTCATTTTGTAAATCACTCAAATGTTTCCCTCCATCAAGCATGTAGAAGAGGAAAAGGTAATCACAGAAGCACATGTGTTTCAGCTTGTCTCTCGTGGGCTGTGCTCAGCCTCTAGCCTGACAGGTTGCCTGTTGATGGAGGGTTAAAACTAAATAAACAACCCCCCCCCAGAAGTCCCTGTTAAGTGTGAGAGTAAGTTAATGACTAAATGTGTACTCCAGACTTGAAGAGTTTTTACTTTCTTGTGAACACTTTTGTCTGAGTGTTCAAAAACTGAAATAACAACCAGTAGAACTGCTGTTTCAGTGGGAGTTTTACTTTAAGTATCAACAGATGTGTATAAAAACCTCTTAATGCTTTTCATATGCAGTGTAACTCTACCTGACTGATAGGGGAGGAAGACGGAGTTTGGGCTTCTTATTTTATTAGGACCTCTTTGCAACCTCCAGAATCGCTGTCTTAAGAGCTTGTCTAAACTATGGGACAGATACTGGACACCAGTCCTTGCTTAATTGCTTTTGTGTCGCTTTGGAGATGGAAAGGAGACTCTAGCAGGAGGCTGAGACTGCCCCGGCTGTTTCAAAATTCCCTGACAGTGCAAAGTCACAGCTGTGTCCTCTCTCCTAACAAGTGTGAAATCTGAGAGTGTCAGCGGCTGGCATGAAATGTTTTGCAGCCACTGGGGTAGTCCCTAGAGCCATGGCAAACTGTCGTGCTGAGATTGCAGCCAGCAAAGTGTCTGGGGGCCCACGCTGTCACTGGTAATGGACATTTATTTTGGCTTGTCTGAGGATTTCTTTGGAAATGGACTGTGTGCCTGTTAATGCTGCAGGAACAATTCTAAAGCAATTAGTATCAACCCAGTATTAATAGTTATTCTGTAGTTATCTTCTTAGCAGGCTGTTGCCCTGCTATTTGTAGTGCAGACAGGAATTGTCTGGTTCAAACTCTGTAACAAAGTTGACGTGAGCCTTGTCTTCCTGACGGCCTCTATGACAGTAACCCGGGTAGTGTTCCAGAGTGCATTGCTCCACCATGCTGCTGGTGCTGTTCTAGATCTGTCTTCTGAGTACCCCATCCTTCAGTGCAGTGTTTTGGAAGCATGTACCAGATATTTTCAACCCATGCAAACATATGCTTGCTTCAGTAGTTTGGTAAACGTGAAAAACCAGGCAGTTATTAGAAAGCTGTATCTGTGCTCATTGAGCACAACTAATGTTTACTTGCTCTAATTGTGTCCTGCTGTTACACCTTCCTGCTAATAAGTAGCTGATCAGTAAGAGGAGGTAAAGGTAACCTAATAAACCTTGATTAAGTTGTACTTCAGCTTTCTTTAGGCTGAGATGTTCTAATTGGTTTTAACAAGTGTACAAGATAGCTTCTCCTGTAGAGACAGAAAGGAACTAAGTGAAGCAGAAGTTGATCTAGTGGTGAAGCCAGCACATAAAGGTTACTAAGAGGGTGTTACTGGCTTTGCATCTCAGGCACTTCAAAACCCCTACTCTGTTAATGTTGGCTACAGTCTCTGATGCCAGATGCTAATAAGTACAATAATCTCCACAAATAAACTTGTCAGTATCTTTAATCATTACACATGTGCCCACTGCAAAGCATCCTCATGGATTGTCATTGACACTATCAGAACAAATGTATGATTGATTCCAATGGTAAAACAGATTTAAAGCTTCTGTTCCACACAGGGCCTCTGCAAGCTTTCCAAGTTATGGGGCTAGAGGGTGTGCTTCTGAGGGGGGAAACTGTTGAAAGTCTTTAGGAAGGTGAGAAATTCCGTTATCTCTTTGAACAGATTTTTTTTTTTTTAAATATGTAGAGTGTTTGTGCCATTGAAAATTAAAACTGTACAGCCAGTTGCTGTATTTCTTAAATGGGAGGTCTTCAAGGACAAAGGGTGCAGTGTACAATTTTCCATCAGCAAAGGTCAAGTAGCAAGAGTGGCATTGTGTATCTTACTGGGTTTAATATGAAACTGCGTTTCAGTCAGCTGTGCAAATAACCATGCTCTAATCAATATGTCTATTCTGTAGCTTAAAAATCAGCTTCCCCATGGAGATACTGGAATACAAGTGAAATGGCAATGTCAGTGAGAGCTCTGCAGAGAATGTTTTTTGGGTTTTTTTAATTCTTTAAGAGTGTAGAACAGTATGGCATCCTGAAATACGAGTTGCTGTCTCTAACAAAAGATTGTTTTTCACAGCTATACTGTGTTTCCTCAGTAATTGCTACAGGAGCAGCAATTCCAGAATTAAGCAAAGTACTGGGCAGAGGGCTTTCAGAAAGAAGTCTGGGCACTTAAAATACAGCCACCTTGATACACAGAGAGCAAAAATCGAGCTATTGAATGGCTTTAGAGACATGGTCTTGTTTGGGTATGCATGGTCCAACAATGTGTTTGCTGCCTTTTCTTCATCCCCCTCTAGACCTGGAGCAGATACACAGGGGACTTCTCTATCTTCTCTTTATACCTTCAGAGCAATTATTCAAATGTCAGTGTAATTTTCCTGTAGAGAATGTAGGTGCAGCTGCATACCAACTCCATATAGGCAGCATCTAAACTTCATTTAAAGGCATTTAAAGTGTCATTTTAAACATCTGGTTCACTGAACAAAAAAGGTAAGATCATTCCTAAGCCCTGTTTTCCAGAGCTTTGTGCAAATAGATATAAATATCTCTAGGGACGGGGCTTCTAATTTCTTCCTTTGAAATAATAGACCTTCCCATGAAGGAATTTTGGTCCAACATTGAGCCTGAATTAGTTATTACTCCTCTTGTCCTATTCCAAATAGTTATTCTCCCCTTTTCAATTAGACTGTAGTACGTGCTCTAGCTAATTTCATCCCACTGTATATCTCTTAGTCCTCAGCTGCCATTAGCAAGTGGGCAGGTTGACAGAAAAACTGTAGAACCAGTTCTCTCCCAGGGAGTCCCAAGGTGGCTTCGATCTCTGTTTGCAGGGCCAGTGCTAACTGTACAGGGAGTCTGCCTTAGGCAGAGCTGTAATGCCTTGGTCCAGGCACTATTTTGGCACCAGTGGGGTAGCTCACGAGGTTCTTAGAGGAAACTAAGTCTCCTTATGAAGAAGAAATCCCTGGCAGTGGAAGGCAAAATAAATGCTGAGGTTTTTATTTTTTAAGATTTGTATATTAACAGATAGCAACATATCACTATGCTACAGTAGCATCGTTTGCCTGTTTCTCCCCAGTTAGCCCAAGGCTAAATATTAAAATAATTTTTTTTGATCCTTGTCCCTGAATTTATTTTTAGGAACTTAAGGCCTTCTGGCACTTTATCATTTTGGAGACTGAAAGTTAACTTATTTCCAGCTAATTGCACCCCTTTGATGTTGAGTTAATGCTTCAATCCACTTCCTTCACAAATTTCATTTGCTGAACCTTTGAGTAGATTAGATGTACATTTCATAAAGTCAGGTGCAGAGATAAAATTGTCATGATCTGTTAAGTGTCATAGTAAAGACACATTATCTCTTGGCTAATTAAATCTTAAGCAGCTTGGGAAGATTTTATGCATCCTCCTTTGTTGCTGGTTTTCAGGATTCCTTTTATATCTCATCTGTTGAACACTGTTCTGTTAAGGTATATTCCTTCATCGTGTTACCTCGTACACTTTGTATTTCATCACAGCTGGTTGAATTTAGCTCACAGTGTATGCATTTCATCAGACTCCTGGTGTTCATAAGATTGTTCAGTAGAACTGACTGTGCAAAACTTCAGTAACATAAATGACATTAATTCTACTTTAGCATGTGACTTCGAAACAAGCTGCTGTTATAGCTGTTCTGCATCCCACCAAATGCCTGAAAAAATCTTTACTTTAATCTCTCTGGTGATATCAGAAAAGACAAGACTTAAGAAACATCTGCACAAACTATTAAAATATCATAGCTCTTAATAGACTACAGGGCAAGTTTTGTGAGCTTCCTTGCAGTAACTTCTCATTGCACATTTTCATACACCTGTAACAAAATGAAAACAAACAATCTATGCAGCAGACAGTGGTTGAAATACTAAAAGGGATGATCTGTAACAAACATTGCAACAAACAGAAGTTTTGCATTCCAGGTTGATTTGTAATTCCATTTTTTCCCTTTCAGTGTGCAGAAACTGAGTGAATTCCTGTCAAGTGAAGAAATTGGAGAAGAGCATGATAAATCTGCAGAGCTAAGAAGTGCAGATAACCACAGCAACTACCAGGCAGTAGTGAGTAATGCTGTTTAATTGTGAGTGAAGTGGCTGGAGTAATTTGTACCAAGAATAAATTTTTTACTTTTCCATTTTTTAATGATTATTTCTTCCAACTGCAAAAACTCCTTTTAATACTCTTAACTGTCTAGGTCATAACATGGTTGCTTGTATTTAGGACATTTTGCTGGTACTGCCACTAATTACTGCTTATTTCGGTCTTCCTGATTTTGCACAGCCACTCAAAGTTGTTAACCGCAAGAGGCCTGCCAGGGAGGACTGGAACAATTACAGCTCTCACATGAGGAGACCCATTAACATCACAGAAGCGGATGATTTTTGTGTAAAGGTGATATGAAGGTCACTCTAATAACACTGTTACTATAGCTCACTATTAGTCACTTTTATATTCTGATGGCAGTTTCAAACTCAAGAACCAGCAGTTGATTGTGAACTGTCAGACACTTGTGCCCATGTCAGAGATTAACCTGCACCTTTCTTTTCTGTGGCTTCCATTATAAGAATTGACTGCTGTCATCTGTGTTGTGAATAGCTGTGTATATCCCTCTAGATTTCACTTATCAGTTTTCTGTTCGAAGTGTTTAAAACATTAGCCCCATTCTCATGACGAAATTTTTCAACTTAGAACATAGAACAATCCAGGTTGGGAGGAGCCTCGAAAGGCCAGCTGGTCCAACCTTTCTGTATGCCAGACTCTTTCTTCCACTTCCAGTGCCGGTACAGAAAAATGCTATGAAGAAAATAGAAAAGAGTTTGTTTTAGACATTCCTAAAATAATCTTGTCATAAGTCTTCCCTTCCTCTTTTGGAATTCCTAGTAGCCTTTCAAGATGAAGTTAAAAAATAACCCCCAAAGACCTAACTTCTTTGAAGAAAAAATTAAAATTATCCATGCCACTCTGAAGACTGATATTCTTAATTTGGTATAGAAATGGTCAGAAGTAAGAAAAACCCTGATGGTTGTTACAGTGATGATGCAGTTTATTTAGGAAGTCTGCTATTATATTTGCATTTCGAGCACAAGAGAATGAATAATTCAGTTTCATGGGATTAAGTAGGACAAGTGGTAGTGCTTTCAGCTTTTTTTTGGAGGCTGTCACCTGACATGCTGCTTTGGTGCAGGATCCTTCTTGAATAGACTTCCAGGAAAATAAGAAGAATACTTGAGAGATGGTTTTGGGTGGGGTGGTGGATCAAAAGACAGCCTGGAGTTGACAACAAAGGGGTTTGTCACAAAGGAGAGGCCAGAGCAGTAACCCCTGTAAGGACAGTATAAGGTCGTGACCAGAAAGCCAGGACCAGCTACAATCTTTGGCTCCATCTGCTGACATTGTTGTCACCAGTGACACCTGGGTCAGGGAAATTCTGTAGTTACTAAATACTGTCTGTGCAGCTCATTGCCCATGAAGGGGTGTTTTTTGAGAGATGATGCTCTGGCTGCCTTTGATAATCCAGAAGGAGGAACACTGCACTTACTCTTGCTCTTTTTTTCAGGTTGTTTCACAGGAATAACAGTATCACTTTTTTCTCCAGAGTAGTATAAAAGTGTCACATTCCAATCTTCTCAGATCAAAAAATGTTGTACCTTGTGTTGCTGAAAGGCTTTCAAGGCTTCAGTGGCTCTGAAAAAGTGAGAAAAAGGTCCTATATAAATACAGGCCTTTTAAAATTGTCTCCTGTTTCCTATTTTTCACAGTATCCATGGAAATCTCCTTCATTTAAAGTCTTGAACAGGCTTTCTTTCTTTTTAGTCTTTTTCAGTGAAAATATTTTTGTATCTAGCACAGCCTAGTTTATCTGAGAATCGTATCAGAAATACAAAGAAAATAAACTGTAATAGACATCAACATCTAATTTCTGTAGGAAGTTCTGCAAATCTGCTTGGAATTTGGACCGTGCAATTGCTGTATATGCTGCAGTGTGTCTAGAGTGGCATTCACTGCTCTACAGATAGCAAACTGTAACCTTGTATATAATTTAATCATGTCAGAATCATTTCACTTATTTCATGTGCCCGCCTTACAAATGACAAATCAAAAGCCCTAAACAGTGGCTTCTTTTTCTTCAGGAATTTTCCATAATTTTCTAGTTGTCGTGCTTGTTTGAGTTCAGAGATTCTTGCACAAATACAAACCTTCAGTCATTTGCAGTTCTGTTTCCTGCACTGAGCAAAGGCTAACTCTGTGCCTATGCTCAATGTAATGAAAACAGAAATGTCTGATGCTGAAAAAAGAAGTCAGCTCTAAAGTTGTTTTTTCTGTTTGTTTCTCTCCATCTTGGCATAGATCACAAATGGATTTTTCACTTGGACACCTGAAGGTCCACCAGCATTGTCCAACATTGATATCCGAATCCCTCAAGGTACAAAATGACATTAGATATACAGAATAAGATGTTTTTTCCATGAGCATTTGGTAAATCAGAAGCTTATATACACCTTCCTCTCTCACAGGTCAGCTAACAATGATTGTAGGGCAGGTTGGCTGCGGTAAGTCATCTCTCTTGCTGGCCATACTTGGTGAGATGCAGAAGATATCTGGGAACATATTCTGGAGCAGGTAGGGCTATTTAAAAATTCAAGCTTGAGTTGAGCAGTAATGCAGAAAAAAGCCAAAATCTATTCTGGGAACGTGTTTGTGGAGTCAGGGATTTTGTAACTGTACAGTCAAGATAAAAACCTGTTGTGGTTTTAACCTAGCCAGCAGCTAAACACCACGCAGCTGCTTGCTTATCCTCCCCCACCCGAGGCAATGGGGAAGAGGGTTGGAGGGGTAAAGGCAAGGAGACTCGTAGGTTGAGATAAAAACAATTTAATAATTGAAATAAAATATAAATTGTAATAGAAATAATAATAGTAATACAAGAATATACAAATGAGTGGTGCACAGTGCAATTGCTCACCACCTGCCAACCAGTGCCCAGGCCGTTCCCAGCTAGCGATCCCAGAGGAGAAAGAATCCTAAAACCCAGAAGAGAGAGTGTGTTCTGGCCAACCCTTATTTATATACTGAATATGATTTTATATGATGTGGGATATCTCATTAGCCAATTTGGGTCTGTTGCTCTGGGTATGCTCTTTCCCAGCTTCTTGCACACCAGCAAAGCATGAGAAGTTGAAAAGTCCTTGATTTCTTAGCAACAACTAAAAACATCAGTATATTATCAACATTCTTCTTGTACCAAATCCTGTACTAAATGCAAAACACAGCGCTATTCTACCTACTAAGAAGAAAATTAGCTCTATCCCAGCTGAAACCAGGACAATACCTTACCCTAAGTGATAGGGGAACACATCAGAAAGAACACCCAGCCAGGCTCAAAGAAGCTATCCATTCCATTAATAGGAATAGATAACCATACTTGGGCATTCTGCACTCCTGCAGCATAACCTGAGTGAAATCCTAACTAATGTGGAATCAGAATTAATTAGCTTGAAGTGTTGTGCTGCTAGAGAATGGCATTTGCACTTTCAGGCCTGAGCTTGTGTCTTTGAATGGAACTACAAAGAGGTACTGGCTCCCTGGGGGTAGTCCCTGGCTGTGCTTTTAGCTGTGTGCTCTATCCCAGCACTGCTCTACTGCCTGAGGAATTGAAGAGTTTTTTGTAAGTGGCAGTGACCACAGAGTACTCCCCCAGTGCATCCTGTCTGATTTGACAAGAGGGAGATAGTCATGTCCTTCCCTCCTTTCCCAAGGGGACACAGCAGCTGTGCTCTGACAGCCAGTTATAGATTATACTTCTGTCTAACTTTTGTGTTGGTCATGAAGGGAGGAAAAAAATGCTACTGAGTGCCCACAGCTGTACTGCTGGGGCTCAGTGTCCTGGCCCTCAAACTAAACGCCACGTGGTATAATATATTGCAACTCCTGTATGTGGTTTCCAGTAAATCACTGCTGTCTCTACAACACTGCCTGATCAATGTGTGTGAAAATTTTTGGCTTGTTTATTTTACAGTACTAGAGCTCCTAGCCATGCAGACTGCACTTTGCCTTTGGGGGTACAATAATTTGTAGGTAAAGCTTGACAGAGAAACCATTAAGTTTTTTTCCAGCTGATTGGGAATGAAGGAACAACAGTGCAACTGTAAGTCAAATCCATGCGCTCTGATGGACAGAGGGTCATTGTTACCCAGTGAGTTCTGCACTGATTTTTGAAACAATTCTCACTAATTCCTTGAGTGTTCGTAGAGAGATATTATTTATATCCAGCCTTCATGTGTAAGCCGGTCACACTACTGAGAATTGCACATGCTTTAATAGTAATAGTACAAGGAAGGAAGGTTCCCTATTTTATAAGTGGGGCAAATGAAACATAGGAAGGTGACCCTTTAAACTGGGGAGGGAGACAAGAACAGAAGCCACAGTTCAGAATGTGGTGATCTCTCCATTAAAACATACTTCCCTAAGCAGAAAATCCAAGTTTGGTGAGGAACTATACAGAATCCCTGCAGCCTTATTAGGTGAACTAATTTCATTACGGCAAGGCTGTAATTTTTTACAGATGACATAACATGATTAAGAAGTATAATTTGAATGTCTGATGCAAACTGAAACAGATGACATGATGGTTCTGATCAGACTATGTTTTTAAATAGCAGTTGTTTAGGAGTATGTGCTTCACAACAGTGGAAAGGTCAGACTAGTTTTCGTGTCTTCCGTATGTGCCAAAGTATCACAAGGTAAAATTCAGTTGTTATCACGTTTGCTTTGCTATCAGTCGGATATGTATAAAGGAGCTTGTGGCTGAAACAGTCTTAGCACTGTAAGTGCTGGCTGCACTGGGACAGATTATGTTTTGTCTCATCTTTCAGAGCTGCTACCATGTGCACTGGACTATTCAGAATGATAGATGCAGTCAGTGTGGGCTGTTGTAAAGCTCTCAGATGAAAGCTCCCTTAATTTGATAAGAAAATACTAATGCCTGACCAGGTACATGCAACATTATCCCAGGTTCAAGGAGAGCAGTCTTATCAAGTAATCACCAGAGCTTGTAGCCTTAGCTCAGGCAATCAAATGTGTCACCAAAATCAGTAACATCCTTGTTACAGCTCTTTCTTTGGGATGAGATGAATGCTTTGCTTCAGTCATTCACATTACAGAATAGTCATAAATTATTTCATTCCAAATTTCCTTCCCCTTCCCTTCCTCCAAGGTCACAGCTATGAAGACCAAGGATACATCCTGCTGACATGTCACCCAGTGCTCAGGAAATCTGGATTCTATTCCTGGCCCTTCCCTGGGTCTAATGGATAACCTTGCACAAGTCATTTCCCTCCTCTGTCCTCCATGCTCTATTGATAAAACAGGGTTAACTGCATATCATCTTTATTTGTTTCCTATAAAAATTAAATTTGTTTCAAATCCTTAAAAATAAATGGAATTTATTCCTGAATGGGGTATCAGCTAATCAGAACTGAGCAGTGGCTCATTTGTGATTTTATTTTGTTGTTTGTATTACAGTATGTCCCTGGAAGATCCAGCTCAGATTACTGCCCCTTGTCCAGAGCAGGCTGAGAGCATCTCAGCATAAATATTTTATAAAATGGTTAGAGATTAACAAAAATAGAGAAATCATTATTTATATTCTGAACAGATGGTAAATAGTATTGATTTCACTGGTTATTGAGTAAATAATTATAGTATATGCCATGCTAATTTCTTCTGGGCAGTGTCTCACTTTAAATAGTCCCAGTTCAAGTCCATGGAGCAGTTTATAGTGTAAGTCTTTTTGGAGTAAATAATATCAGAAAATTGACCTAAAAGAGAAATAGTTTGCCCAAACAAAATTATATCATTTGTTTCTAAACAGGACATATATGCACTCCCATGTGAATCTAGAGGCCTTATAAGGAGAAGTGCTAGGTTTGTTAAGGTTGTTAACAGTATATTTTCTTCTACTTGATGTGGAGTTGACCGTTTTCATCAAATGACAATATTTTAAAAGTTATTTTGCTGCTTAGAAATTACCTTGATTTTTAAAAAGTGTGTTTACTGGAGTTTTCAGGAACATCCAGGTACTGTAATTTTATATTAACTAAATTGGAAATAGAGATTTGAAGGCTTGAAAATCTCAGTAGCACATATTTGCATCTTTAGACATCCATATGCTTTGAAAAATTAGATCTAAACCTCATTATTAAACATACATTACTTTGATATTTCAACACTGGTAGAAGATAAATGCATCCTTAATTGCCAGGAATATGCAGGAAAGGGGGGAAAGGAGGGACAAAGCAAAGTCAAAGTGGGAAAAAGTGGGTTGAAACAGCTGAGCTAAAACATCAAATGGAGAATTAATTTTTCTAGCTACAGAACAGAAACACAGACCAGGGAACTGATCTACCAATACTTGCATATAAAAAATGTGGCACCTGTGGCTGAATGGCCAAAGAAGGTGGTTAAGGGAGGAAGTCAGGACATGGCTGTGCACTGCTGCACCTGGTGTTCTCTGAGGATCGTTCGTGCCCTGTGAGCGTGGTGCTTTGCCCTGGTTTCTGAGCAGCAACTGGAGCAAAGCTGCACGCCTGCAGTGAACACAGGTACACTGTGCTAGCCACGAGGGACCCTGCCTGACCTTCGCTTCTTGAGCTGTGTTGATGGACTGTGAGCTGCAGAGTTGTCTGCCTGTCTTGCAGGTTGGTGTGTGAAAAGCACAGTGGAGAGGGAGTTGCTGTCACACGCAAATACTACAGGTCACCAGTTACCAGGGTGTTCCCTGGGCCACCTTCAGAGTGGTGCATGAAGCAGGAGCTGATATTTGTTGTTCAGGGTCCTTGTGTTGTGCACGGAAGGGTTGGAAAAGATCTTCCCTATTTTAGCCCCTTGATAGGTTCTGTACAGAATGTGTTGCTACTTACGGATGTGCAACAGGTTCCTGGGTTTTTGGAGAAGGTGCCACTGAGTCACACACAGAGTTACTAGAGACCAGTGGAGTGTGAGGTAACTGTGGAAAAGCTTTGTTTGGTACACTGACCTTTGCAATCCAGGTACTAGTGGTTGGCTGGCTCTCTCAAATTCTACAGTAAATTGAATTTAGATTCAGTTGTTGCTTACTATGCATAAACTTTTTGAAAGTGTCTCAAACCAACCTTTTAAACTGCAGGTACTGTTTTCTTTCCTGGATATTTATAAGCAAATGGTGTTAGCACAAAGTTAATTTGACTGTTGTCTTTAAAAAGTGAAAAACTTTCTTCCTTCTTGATTTTGTTTATGCCAAACACAGATTTTTCATTCTTTTCAATGGAACTGAATTTAGCATCAGTAATAAGTGTGGCCAGTCATCCTGTCAAAACAACTCTGTCTGTGAACATCTTGGTGCATGTTCAAAAATAGCAAAAACAAAACCTGTCCGTCCCTCAGACCTGCCCACACTTGTACAAGCACATCCACCCCGCCAAGGATAGGGCTGATACAGAATGCAGCACATTGCAAGTCAACTGAAGGTGGGTTTTGGGGTTCAAACTAACCCATTATATGCTGCAAAGGTGCAGTTACTGCCATGGAAAAATACAGTATCACAAATTATCAGTTTGTTTTCCCTGAAAATGTCCTTTTTTTAATGGAACTACATTCTTGTCACACTAAAACTTCTTGCTTCTTTTACCACCTCCAGGACGGGGTGGAGGTGATTTTATTTGTTCAGTCAAATTAAATGTTTGTAAGGAAAAACTGTCTCCAAATTCTTTATGACTGCTAAGATCAAGTCAGTTTGTGTAGAAGGAACAGATGCTGCACTGCAGCTCTGTGATAAATACTGTTTACAGTCTATGCACTAAGTGGAATTTAATAGTTTTTGTTTCTGGGGCAGATTGCCTGTGCTTACTTAAGTAAACAGTCTTTGCTTTCTGTTTGTGATGCAGCTGCACTTCTGACAGTGAGACGGGGGAAGATGTCAGGTATGGTATTGTATGCCATTATTGGTCTTCCTACTAAATTGATTGAAATAGAAGGAATCAAAGGTTTCTAAAATCTATGCTTAAGATTTTCAGAGTCAGAATTCTGAAAATCAGTTAAACTTTCTTTGCATTAATTAGTTTAGGATACAATTTTTGAAACCACCTATGTGACTTATGAAAATAAGAATTGGATTTCCTTTATGAAAACATCGCCCTCTGGCAATTTTGAAAATTGTATCCTGACTTTCCTGTATGTCTTTGAAAATCATCCTCTTAAAGTCTGAACCAGATTATTCCCTAATGCTACACTTTAAAAGCTAGTATCACGAATTGCTTTAAAGGTTTCGTGTATTTAGAGCAAATTCTCCCCATTACCCTTCCCTTTGTTTTTTACATCCTGTCATAAGTTTATTTTCTCACCTAGCGTTCTTCAGACATGCACAAACTGAGGGGTGTGGGGAGAAGCAGATTAGTCCATCTGTTGGCAAGCAGTCCCTGCATGGAAATTATTTTTACTTGATTAGTATAACTCAGCTTGGACTTTGGGAATATCTACCAAATGAACTGAGAGCAAAGCATGGTTGTCATGTTAGTGTGGTGCACAAACCTTCAGAATGGTACA